ATCAAAATTTAATTTAAAAGCGGGTGTAACATTTATATGATGGTTAAAATTTTCATAAATTTGAGATGTGATTGTATAATTCAAAAGTATGGTAGATCAGAGTCAAAATTATTAAAAGTGTAGTTTTTTGAAACATTAAAACCATAATATCTTGGGTTAATGCTACATACCAAAATTGGTATGGTTTATATCACTTGAACCATAATAGGTATAATTTATGAAATTTACTAAAAATATAATAGTTTTTTTAACTATGTATTTGGATAAGTATGTCCAGATACGATATAATAACTTTTAGCTATGTATCTGGACTATATCTGGATAAGTATGTCCATATATATCCGGATAAATGTGTATAGATGTATTGCCAAAAGTTACTATATTTATTTAGATATATAGCTGGAAATTACTATATTTTTAGACGGACATTTTAGGCTACATAATAAATAGTGATAGGGACAGACATGCCCCCACTTGCCAGTATTGAAATGAGCTGCGCACCTACCCTCTCGTGACCACCGGCTTCAAGAGGAGGACGAGATAGCAAGCCAAAGGAGTAGAAGATACAGCATGCGAGCAAGCAAGAGCGGTTTTAGCCATCAAAGCCGAAAGCCATCCGGGCATTCGCTCTCCCCTCGCTGCTAGCTAGCTTTGCTTGCTAATCTAGAGCTAAGCACCAAATGGTCCTGATTGTTCTTCTCGCTTCTGAATTGTTGTGACCTGTAACTACAAAGGCATAGTTAGGTAGATATAGAAAGAGGGGGGGAGAGGGGCCGGAGGCCGGAGCGGCGGGGGCGGCGGCGAGATGAAGCTCCACTTCGTGCTCAGGTTCCTGTTCGGCCCCGTGCCGGTGTACTTCTCGGCGCTGGCCATCCTCATCCTGCTGACGAACGCGCAGTACTTCGGGCTGGTGGGCGTCACCGTTCCCCGCGCGACGAAGCTGGCGTCGTCGGCGCCGGTGGTGAGCGTGATGAAGTACTGCGACATCTTCCGCGGCGAGTGGGTGCCGGACTCCGACGCGCCCTACTACAACCACAAGACGTGTTACATGATCCAGGAGCACCAGAACTGCCTCAAGTACGGCCGCCCCGACCTCGAATTCCTCAAGTGGCGGTGGCGCCCCTCCGGCTGCGAGCTGCCCCGCTTCGACCCCGTGCAGTTCCTACAGTTCAACCGTCACAAGTCGCTCGCCTTCGTCGGTGACTCGCTGGCTCGCAACCACATGCAATCCCTGCTCTGCCTCCTCTCCCAGGTAAGAGTGCTTGCTTTCACAGGCTTTTCAGTCTGCCAAGTTCAATTCTTTGGGGGGTGTGTGTGTGTGGTGACAACGTGAGACGTTGCCATGTTTGCACAATGGCCTGAGACGGCGAGAAGCTGACCCGATGGTTTTCCTTTCCTCTCTGGGACGGGGCAACTGTAGGTGGCGTATCCCAAAGACATGTCGGCGAACCCGACGACTCAGAACAAGGTGTACCACTACAGGGGGTACAACTTCACCGTCAGCATGTTCTGGTCGCCGTTCCTGGTGAAGGCGCGTGAGCCCGACCACGACGGGCCGGCGCACACGGGCCACTGGAGCCTGTACCTCGACGAGCCCGACCAGTCGTGGGTGTCCGAGATCTCGCGGTTCGACTACGTGCTGGTGTCCGCCGCCAACTGGTTCTCCAGGCCGTCGCTCTTCTACGAGAAGCGGCGGCTGGTCGGGTGCAGCTTCTGCAGCAGGCAGTACGGCGTGCCGGACCTGACGCTCTACTACTCGCAGCGCCGGGCGTGGCGCGTGGCGCTGAAGGCGATCAACGACCTGGAGAGCCTCCGCGGGCGGGTGATCGTGCGGATGCTGTCGCCGATGTCGCACTTCGAGAACGGGACGTGGGACCAGGGCGGCAACTGCAAGCGGACGCAGCCGCTCCGGAGCAACGAGACGGTGATGGAGGGGCGGGACCTGCACTTCTACACGGCGCAGATGGAGGAGTACCGCGCCGCGGAGAAGGTCGCGGAGGCCAAGGGCCGGCGGATGATGCTCATGGACGCCACGGCGGCGATGCTGATGCGGCCCGACGGCCACCCCAGCCGGTACGGCCACCTGCCGAACCAGAAGGTGCAGCTCTACAACGACTGCATCCACTGGTGCCTGCCAGGCCCCATCGACATCTGGAACGACATGCTCTTCCAGATGCTCCTCGTCTAACGCGATCGATCGCCAATTCGCCATCGGTAAATGCGACTTCTACTGCACAGACAGGATTGCTCTTGCTGTTGTTTCAAAGCAGTTTTGACAAGGATTTATTCGAACTTCCCCAATAGATTCTTTTTTTCTCTCTCTTTTCCCTTCATTTCCTTTCATTTTTCGTTTATGCTGACGCGAATTTTTAATGGATCGTCACCGGAAAGAGTGAACGAAAGTGTGCCTCCGAAAGACCACTGTGATACTGTCACTCCATTCATTTCCAATACTTGAAACCAACAAACAAAGGCAAAGCAACACTTTTTACACCAGGTTCCAGGTATCGGATTCCTCGCTCGCTCCCCTACAAATACAATGCAAGTCGCATAAACCCAGATCGAGTTGGGGTGGGGGTTTGTACGGGAGAAACCGAGTAAAAGCGCGCGTAACTCCACTTGGGCCGTGCGGTCGAGGCTAGTCAGCGTGAGCCGTGAGGCGCACCGCGCACCGCATCTGCGCGAATCAATCGCAGTGATGGCGCCGGGACGAAGTACCGCAGTACTACGACTGGCGTTGTGGCCGTCGTGGCATGCACAACGGAAAAGGCCAGGCGGTACGCGTTACACGTACGCTTGTCGGCCGGGGGTGGGGCCTAGCTGGAGGCGAGTGAATGCGTGGGGCGTTGGTTGGTGTGCCTGTGTATTCTGGCCTCTGGGTTGGGACGGTGAGTCGGTCTGTGACTGTGCGAGACTGACGCGGTGACGCTCACGAGCACAGCTCCGTCCGTTGCGAGTTCCCAATTCAACCCCGGCTCCGATCCAGAATCTGACATGGATCGTGGTTTGCTCTGCCGCCTCTAAATTAAAGGCACGGTGCGAGCTGGGAGACGCAGGAACGGCTCACTTTATTTCGGCGAAATGGCGCGGGCAGCCGGGCACGGTGGGCCTTCACCGGAGGACCACTAGAAAAGATCAAAGGAGGAGGAGTCTACAATCGTAGGGTGGGGTGGTGCACGTAGCAGGTGGGAATTCGAATCGAGGCCCACTGCTCCGTGATAAGCGAGACACGCCATCGGAATGCCTTTTACTTTCGGATATGGTCGGAAACTCGGAATGCTTCAGTTAACGGGGCACCCAGCTAATCAGTTTTTACTGGGTTGGCCATGCGTGCAGGCAAACGGCCGGACCAGTGGGCCCGAATTGTACGATCTTAACGCCCATCTAGGGGCATGACCACTGTCACCAGTTACTCCTCTGGAGCGTCGACTACCCGCATTCGAGTTCGTTCCCGATCAGCCGCCCTTGCAGGTCGGGGACATGAGGACTGGAGGAGAGTCGTGATGGCCGTAGGCTTACTGCTCACGTAGTCACGTACGTGAGTACGTCCGCTATGGTTGGCCGACGCTTTTTTTTTTTGGGTGCGCACCGACGCTTTCGACCACGACCCAGTCACTCTTCGCTTTCGACTCTCCGCTGCGTCGGCGCACGTCGAAACACTTTGACGACGTGGACGGACGCACACAAGCAATACGAGCCACGCCATCACTGCTTACACCAGCAGCATCACAAAAAGCGGTGCCCGGTGGAGTACCGCGGTTTTCTTAATTAGGCTAATGTCGACATCGACACATCGTCGCCAGCATGTTAGTGAGACTGTCATGATTCATGGTAAGTTGGTAACGAGACTTGGCTAGTGTACAGTGACTGTCAGTCTGTCACGTGCGCCGTCCAACCGGCCTGGTGTGCTTGTATTGGGCCGCCAACTATTTCGGAAGGAAGAAGTTTACTTTGCATACCTCATTTAATGGTCGAGTTTTTTTTTTAAGAATATTTAAGGGTCGAGTTTGAATACCCCTCATCACTAAAACTGGGTACAACGCATCTCATCTTCCAAAACCAATGCAAACAAGTTTCCAAGTTAGTATTGAGACCGATTTTAGCTAACATGACGCTTACATAGCTAATTTTACTTAGTCCGCGTCTCATGTAGTGTTGACGTGGCACTGGAAGAAAAAAAAGAACAAGTTAAAAAAAAATATAGGGCTCATATACCTATCAAATAATAAGATAAAAAATAGTGGACCCCATATGTCGGCGTGTCCTAGTTCCTCCACCTAACCCTCCTCTTGGCTAGCGAGCTTCTCCCACCTCCGACCAGAAGTCGGCCTCCTTCCGCTTCTCCCGTCTCCCTCCCCACATGCAGCCAGCATTCTTCCTCCCTAGGTCCGTCTCGACAACGAGGTGATAGACGGGCAAAGCAATCGCATGTGACCGTCGGCGACCCGCAGTGGAGCAAGCGGACTCAGGGGAGCATGCGGAGGCGCATCAAGATGTGCAGGTGGCTGCGGTGGTGCGAGCAACAACCTTCTTCTCCTCACCCTTGACTTTGATGCCGCTGACCACGTTTGCCTCAACCTAGCCAGTTGTGCCGTCCTTGGCCTCTACCTCCCCGTGCCCCACTGCCTGATATCGGAATGGAGAGAAAGTGCGTCGTGCGCCCCGTGCACTGGTGGAGAAAGAGGAGTAGAGAAGGTTTTTTTTTTCTTTTATATTTTTCATGTTATTGACATGTGGGGTGCATGTGGGTCATACGTTGGCTCAGTCGGGTTGACCGCCGTCAACTCACCACGTTAACTGAAACTGGACACAATACTACCCTGGGATCTTATGTGCTATGAAATTGAAGATTAAGGGGCAGATTATATATGGTAGTACTATGGTACAAGGACATGCTTTAAACTCGACGTTAGAATAAGGGGCCTAACACCGTGTTTAGATCCTAATTTTTTCTCAAACTTTTAACTTTTTTCATCACATCAAACTTTCCTACTCACATAAACTTTCAACTTTTCCATCACATCATTCCAATTTCAATCAAACTTCCAATTTTAGCGTGAACTAACACAGCCTAAATTAAAAATTCCACTTCGAAACGTTGCGGGCTGTTTAATTTCACAACTCGTTATTGGTTTAGGCCCATTATGAAGCCAGAAACAGAAGTGGCGGAAGCTTGGTGCGTTGGTGCAAAATATGGACTATATGTGTTTAATCTGTGATATACTGATATATCAGTTGCCAATAAGCTCAATCATGCGTAAGCACCAAACTTTTTTATGAACCAGGCAACCGGCAATGAGCGCGCATAGCTAGCATATATAGCAGTGGATGACTGGATGTAACGCTGCCTGCCCGGTGCCTACTGACCCGCGGCAAAGGCCTCGACGGGGAAGGTCTTGGTGACGCCGGCGAGGCTCTTGAAGTGGATCTTGCCGGTGGGCGGGTTGTCGACGGTGATCTCGTTCACCGGCGGCCACAGCATCAGCTCCTTGGCCTTGACGCCCTTGAGCTTCTTGATGCACTTGGCCTTCACATACCCGGTGATCTCCACGTCGTAGCTCACCTGCTTGCTCACCATCTTGAACTGGTGCTCCACCTTCTTCCGCTGCGCGATCCACATGTAGCCGGTGGCGCGCACGAACCCGACCTCGATCACCTCCGCAAGCGGCAGCAGCCCGAGCGGCAGACCGAACTCCTCTAGCAGCGCCGTGGCCATCTTCATGCCCTCGTCGGGCCCCTTCTTCACCACGGCTCCCTCCCGCTCAGCCATGGATTACTGCTAAGTGGCCTAAGTCCCTTGCCGCTTTTGTGTGTGCTTTGTGATCGATTTGCATCTATTTGGATTATATATAGGAGGGGGTCAGGGGAGAAAGGTTGGAGAAGAATGAGAGGCCAAATGAGTTCCTGCCTCGAATTCATCGTTGGGTTTCGGTTGTTTGGCATGCTGATGTGAGCCTTTGGCATCGAATTCATCGTTGGCACCGTTGGGTTTTACAATGTCTACTTTAGTACTGACTCTGTAATTATGGACAAGCTTCATCCGTTAAAATTCGACTAATGTGATTAAGGGTATGTTCTTTTGTTCAATTCCAAACTACAATTTCCTCTTTTCTCGTTAGGGTGTTGTTCAAACTCATTTCCCATTAGCACGTTTTTTGGAACAATTAAATGATATTTTTTAAAAAGTTTTTATATAAAAGTTTCTTAAATATCAAATAAATTCATTTTTAAGTTTATAATAATTAATACTCAATAAATTATAACCTAATTACTCACCACATTTTCCTTGCCATAGAAAAGCTCAACTCATGCCTTAGTTCGAACGAGGCCTAGATTAAGGCATGATTACGTGGTACATGGCCTTGATAATAATTTGACTAGAAAATAGTTCCGTGCTTTGAGTAAAATACCTATAAATAAATGTTGATGGATTGATGCCCCGATCATAGAATCCGTACCTATATATTGTATTTTGAGGACGTAGAGATAAATTGATATAAGAATACAAACAAAGTTGTAAAGAGAGCAAGTAAGAATGAGATTTTTATGTAGATTCAGACTTTCAAGATGGGTAATAGCTCTACTCCTGTTAGATGGAGGTATGTCTTGCTATTATATATTAATCTCTCACGAGTATAAAGTATTGGGGGGAAATACCTAATATAGTCTGACACGCGCGACCTCCCTGCTGCAGCCGCCAAGCCGCGCCCGTGCCGAGTTGCCTCCACGCCGCCGCCCCGCCGTAGACCCGTAGTCGCCGCCGCCTGCCGCCGCACACGTCGGCCGCCCTCCGCCAGTTCGCCGGTGCCGCCACTCCAACCCCTCATGGCGACACGTCCTCTCCCTCACTGAGTCACTATCTAGGGTTTGGGGAATGGGGATGTGCCAGCTATCGTCAGGGAGGGGAAAATGGGAATTGGGCTGAGAGTGTGGGCGGTGAGGAAAGAGGGGGGTGAGTGGGAAATTTGGGCCCAATATAGTTGAGGCCCAATGGTGAAACAAGGCCCAAAATAAATAGTTGAGGCTTCTTCTTTAATTTTTTTAATACATATACGAAGTATAGAGTACATATACATTTTTTTCTCAAAAATCTTGGGTATACTTCTGAATACTTAAATCACTAGTGGGTCCGCCCCCTAAGTCGGCAGCAGCCCTGGTACTAATTGCCGAGTTTGTCCACTCTAGAAGTCACACGCGAAAATACGAAAAGATTGATTTTGTTTGAAAGTTTCTTATGTGGCTAACTTTTTTTAGGAAATGAAATTAGCTATCTCTTGGAGAGGATATTTTTATCCCTTAAATCCCATTAGATGTTTCAATAAAAAAAATAGAGGGTTAAATTTTAACAGTCTATTGGTGATGCTCTTAGTCAATCAAACACGCAAGGAAAACCTGTAAATAGGCTCTAGGGTGGCGTAATAAACGGGTGTTTTTAGAGAATTTAGAAAAATAGACCACCTCCCTCTCTCAAGTCTAAGAGTCAAGAGGTATTGCCTGGTTATATGAAGAAACTGAAGTGCTAAACGGTATTGCCTGGTTATATGAAGGAGAAAAGATATGAGAGAAAGAGTCATACTTCATATAAGGGGCAAACTTTACAGGAAGGTTGTGTTTAGATCTAGGGGTAAAAAATTTTGGCGCGTCACATCGAATATACGGACACATATAACAAATTACAAAATCCGTTATTAAACTGCAAAACGAATTTATTAAGCATAATTAATCCATCATTAGCAAATGTTTACTGTAACACCATATTGTCAAATCATGTAGCAATTAAGCTTAAAAGATTTGTCTTGCAATTTACACGCATGTATCCAAACATTCGATGTAACATGGGGTCCAAAGCTAAGAAAAATGTACTAGTGCTAAAGATATTGGGGGTCTGTGCGTTTTACCTCTTAATTCGTGGTACGATAATATGGATTGAATTAGAGGGAGCAGCCACCTCTGCTGCTCTAAGGGAACGGCATTTATTAAACCACTATTTTTATTCATGCCAAACACCAGCACTAGTCCAGTGACAACCAAACGACAATCCTACACTCCAAAAGTTTACATTTAGGTTCTCAAATAGTGATACATAGCTTTGAGAGTTGAAACCGTCAGATACTGACATAGTTTATGAGGTGCCCCTGGAGTTGGCAAAAACTTCACGAAGATTGTCGCAGCTCTGGACGCACAAAGTCTGCATCAGCAGGCACTGAAATGTCAACGGTGGGCCTCAACTGAGCACAGACTTCAATGGCACTATGGACGGGATCGGAGAAGAAATTGCTGATGAGGTCTTGATTAACTGGAGCATTCTTGTCAACAGTCACAAAAGCTTGTTGGGTCAAGATGTAGTCGAAGCGTGGCGCCCATTTCCTTGATCCCAACCGGGCTGTTGTGGAGCAGTTATCAACCATGAAGGCCACCCCACGAGCGTGCATGAATGGGTTCAGGGAATCCACAGACTCGATCAAACTCTCGTTGATGATCTCCGAGTAAGAGTGGCCCTTCTTTCTAAGGACTTCAATCTAAAATCAGTGCAAAACAGAACATATGAATAAACATTTTATAAACCAATGTATATAAATGGGTTCTAATTTGAAAAAAAGAATACAATCATCCAACCTGTGCCATCATAAGTGCAACATACACTCCAGCAGTGAAAGGATGTAATGGGCCAAGATCACCTGCTGGCCGTGTTGACCGCACCCTTTCACCCACCTTCCACATACGTGTTTGATCAATGTTGCCCATCGGGAAAGCAGGAAGTCCTTCCTTTTCCTATAAGAATACAGGCGTCAAATATTTTATTTTGTTTCAAAACCCAAGGAAATAAGATTATGATATGTTTTATGGATATGGAAGAGAGCGTACATAAAATCTCCTTCCAGCCAAAACAACACTTCTAATTTCACTTCCAGAAGAAACATCTTCATAGCATTCATATAGTATATCCATGCATGGATAATATGCTGCACTGTAAGCCTCGATAAATTGCTTCTTTCCTTCTTCTGTCAATGAATTGTACACTTCAAGCATCCCCTGATACAATTGGTAGTTATACATCAAGTAAAAAGGCACAAAAGAGATTTAAAAACAGAATCGTGGACCTTGTTGTGAAATAAGTAAAAAGCCTTAAATGCATAACGGAAAAATATATGCATGTACCTTTTTCGAAATAGTTTTAGAGATGATTCCAGTGATGCACTCAACAGTGTTCTTGTATGCTGAGTCCTCATCCAACCCATGCTCTGTGTATCTCCTGAAAAGAGCCTCCACAATACCATGTACAGCCCCAAGCAAAATACCTGGAAATAAATTATTAGCCACAAGCTTAGGCAGAAATTTGTTAGTGTACACCGGAAAGTAAATCACCTCGCTCGCCAAAAATATCGCTTCGGTACTCCTGCTCTAGAGTAGTAGCAAATGTGAAAGGAGAACCTAGAGCAACTGACCATCCAAGAGCGACATCTGTTGCTCTTCCATCAACATCCTGTATAATGGAACATACAAAAGTGATTAGCAACTATATACTTGATGGAAGGACCAAAGGAAAAGAGCATTTATTCTCAAATGAAATCAAACAAGGTGAGTAGCAACATAAATACCTGGTGTACAGCAAAGCTGGAGTTGATACCAGCACCGTTTACTTCTTTTCCCTGAACATAAAGCCTTCTAACTGATGGGCCCATTCCCTTGGGACACACAGCAACAACACTGATGTTTTTAGGGAAATCAAGGCCAACAGATTGCAAATGTCCAAGGAGAAATCCATGTGACAATCCAAGAATACTGTTGGGTTTCATGTGTGAGAAAATTTCCTCATAGTTATCCGCCTGTACAAAGTATTATACAATGCATGTCAATATCCGTAGCAAAATTGTGCAGGCCACATAGAAATGAGACATCAGTTAAAGTTCACTGTATAACAAATCCACAGCATAACAGACAATCAGACACACAAGCTTAACAAAACTGTTTTTAAGACATTCAAAATTATGATCTATAAACAACTAGATGGCATTCTGTAAATAAAAAAAAACTCGAGCTGACATAATAAATATCATAATATATGGATTTATGTTACTTTTTAATTCTACAAAACATGTATTGTGCCGTGTGAAATATATCTGAGCAACATGTGGTCCAACTAAGATTCAGTATGTGGAAGTCAACATGAAATATCAATATATATTAGTATGGCAAATTATGATCAATATAGTTTCAGAATTGTACAGTGTCACTCTAAAATCTCTTAGAAATTAAACCAGGTAGGACAGAAATAAACCTGAGCAGCATCTGATATCAACAACAACAAAAGATCGCTACTTGAGATAGTCTCCCATATATCTCCAAGTGTCCCACTCTCTTCAGTAAATCCAGCTGCGCGTGCTTCTTCAAAAGATTTAGAACCTTTCCGGAGACCAATCTGAAACAAAAGATATTCAAGTCAGATGCACCAGTAAGTAGCTGTAGTGCAGTACAACTGCTGAAGTGCTGAAAAAGATGACCATGCACACATTCTAAAATGAAAAGAGGAAAAGGCAGATAGCCATCTTACAGAAAATTGGTGCGTTTGAGTTACAGGACACAACAAAATACTTGATAGCTTAGGCATGCAAAGTTAACAGCACTTAATGAATCTATACATGAAAAACGGCCTCGTCTAAGACATGTCGGGCCACCAGAGGATTAAAGAAAAAACTAACCTTAACAACGATGTCTGATTTTGCCTCAGCAAGTGAGTCCCTCAGGTTCTGAGCTTGTGCAGGACCCTGCAAATAAAAAGCATAGCCTCTGTTATAGCACAAATTTAGCTTTGTTAATATATGTAATTTTCTGTCCAGAACATGTCATGATATATGGGGAAAAAGTACTGATGGTAAATTATTAGCACTTAAACGAGCTAAATGCTAATCAAGCAACTGCTTTTATTCAGTAAGAGCTCTACGCATGCTGTTAACTAATTTCAATCTTGAACACTTCACTGATAAGGCACCAAAGAACATTCATAATTACAGACTGACTTCTACTTAGCATAACTAAAGGCAAGCTCTATCCCATATATAGTCACACTAAACTTGAAATACCATCCTGACAGAAATGGTAAAAAAGAACTAAGTGACCAGAGAATGCTCAGTCAATAATAACGTTGATTGCCCTCTATTATCTGATAAAAAAAACTGTGCTGTCACAAATAAAGTGATATCCCCAAGTCAGTGCTGCATATCCATTTGCTTGTCAATGGTACTTAAAGCACTCAAATTCGAGCCACAAATATAAGGACGATGGGTATATTCACCAGATCAACAAAGGTGGCAAAAAGCAACCATTTGAGGGAAAAAGAAAGTTCGCATCTTCTTAACCTGAGAACCCCATCCGATTACGCCGATCTGCTTGATCCCCTTGAACGCCTCCGGCAGCAGCGGGAACAGATTCCTCCCGCCCCTCACAATATACTGCAGCAAGACCACCCACAAACATCACAAAACAGCAACCCTTCACAGATTAACCACCAAGAGGGTCACGGAAGGAGGAGACAGGGGGGCACAAATCGGACCTCGTCATGGCCAGCTAGAGACACCTTCTCCTTCTTGAAGACGGATGTCTCGAAGTCCAGCGACGGCATGGTGGCCCCGATCACCTGCGGCGACGAGACCTTGGCGGCCACGGCGCCGCGGCGGCGGCGGCCGCCGGCGGAGGCGGCGAGGGGGCATGGGGGCTGGGCGGCGGGGAAGGAGACCGAGCCGGCGGCCGCGGATTTGGAGGCGGGGTTTAGGGTTTTGGGGTGGGCGAGCGCGGTGGAGGAAGTGGAGGTGGCCGCCGCCATTTTGGGATGCGAGGAGGGGCTTAGGGTGTGACTGCGGGAGTGGAAAGAGGGATTCACTAGGGATACGTCTGAGGGTTTATATTTGTGCTGCAATGTACGGTACAATATGATATTGCTATGGCTACTAACATAAAAAAAAACTAGGTTGTGTCTAGGTGAAATGAAAAGAGTGCATTTTTCCTACCTTCGGTTTGCTAAGCGTGTTTCTCGAAAAAAATAATTTAAAAAAAGTTTGCTAAGTGTATACTCATATAGCAAACTTATAGTGTTAAAGTTGTAACAATGAAAAAAAAAGGGGGGGCTAATGGTGATGTTTGGCTGAAGAGTTGAACGATTTGGTTTTATTATATTCAATAATACAAATGAATAAATTAATTGCAAAGTTGAAAATGGATTGAACATAGTTTTTTTTTCCCGTTTAGGAGCTCAAAGAACAGGTCGCTAGTAGCGGTGGAACACATGAGTTTTGTAATTCTTGCAAAGATTTTCTTTTGTGTGTGTGTGAGGTGTTTACATCGCTCTATCTTTAGTCTTTCGATTCCTCACATCATTCCCTAGTCCAATATAAGTAGGAACTAAAAGAGTTGCATTACTATTTTTTAGCCAAATCAATTTTTTAACAGATTTGCAGTGAGTAATACTAGAGCTCTAATAGACCATGTGAAAGAGATGAGTAGATTAGTTATTTAATAATGTAATATATATACAACTAACTATTGTATATAAGCATACTATTAGATTGGTTATAAATGATAGTTTATTTTTTAAGGCTAGTAGTTAGCTATATTATTAAACTTGCTTTGTGCACCTTTTAAGAATCATTAACCAGTACGGAATCATAAAGGCAAAACAACAGTAGGTGCTGCACTGCTGCTAGCATTGAAATGGCTTTGGGGACCCGTAGCACGGTAGCAGTGAAGCTTTTATTTAAGCCAAGGAGTAGTAGAACTTGCATTTTTCCTTCACAATATGTTACTCGGTATAGTGGTTCTAGAGGCTTTGACAGCCCCACTGCGGCTTTTCGCTACAGGTTTGAGCCAAAAAAAAAAAAAATCTGCTCAGGCCCCACGAGCCCACGAACGAGAGTTGGGTGCTTGGTGTTGCGCTGTGCGGCGCGGCGTGAACCCCCTCTTTTGAGGCTTTGAGCCGGTTTTGCAGGCCCGGTATTTCTTTGTTGTCTGGTGTCAACTGTCAAGTCTTTTTTTTTTAACAGAACTCACTAAACACCAGTCATCTTTTTCTAAAAGACAATGGAAAACTATAAGCCAAAGTCTGTCTATGAGCACATAGAAATTCCTAGCTCGAAGTACCTTTATCTCCACCAACACCAAGCATCAAACAAAGCATCGTTGAGGTGCTGGGGCCTGTGTGTGACAATATATATATCCAAACTCTTAAACATCCAAAGATGATGCATGTGATGAACGCAACATAAGGGTGAACCTCTAGCCAACGGTTTAGGAGTAGGTGACATCCAACTACCCAAGTCTAATCCATGATTGTGGTGTGGCCATTAGTGGCGGACACAATCTTTGGGCCACTTGGGCCATAGCTTTGGGCCTGGAACTAAAAGCCCATTTAGGTATGTAAAATTTCACCTTGTAGCAAGAAAGATGCGGCACAAAATTGGAATAAGTCCATTTGGCCTCCCTAATCTCTAGCGCTTGCGTGAATAACATCCCTCACCCAGAAAACCGGGTATAATGCCTCCTCCTTCTCTGAAATCCAGAGCAAATCACCTCCCTCGATGGTTTTGCTGGCGGTTCTGTCCGACGTGGCGTGTTGACCCGGTTGACAAGCTGACTCAGCGTGGCGGGACCCACATGTCAGTGTGTAGCTCTCTATCCCCCTTATCTCTCTTCTCCGGCCTTTCTCTCTCTCCCTCATCTCTTGCGCGTGGGAACGGCGGTGGGGAGCGGCGCAGGCGGTCGGAAACCGTGGCGGTGGCGCTGGGGACGGCGGTCGGAAGCGACAGCGGAGGCGGCGGCTGTGGCGGTTGGGACGGCAGTCGGGAGCAGTGGCGGTGGCAACGGCGGTCGGGAGCAGAGAAGGAGGCGGCGGCGGTGGCGGTGGGGATGGCGGTCGGGAGCGAAGAAGGAGGCGGCGGCGGTGGTGGTTGGGATAGCGGTCGAGAACGGAGAAGGCGGCGGTGACGGTTGGGATGGCGGTTGAGAGTGGAGACCTCCCGGCGCCTGGCGAGCTCCTCCCCCACTGCCGCCGCCCATGGGGAGAGGATCTCGCCGGCCTGCTGCCACCGCCACGTTTTCCCCTCCGATTCGCCGCCACCGTCGCCGTCCGATGCCTCCCTCGCCACCACCGCCGCCCACGGGGAGAGGATGTCACTGGGAGGTCGCGCGCTGGGAAGGGAGCTCGCCGGTCGGCCGCGCACAGGTAGAGGAGCTCGTCGACCGACTGCGCGCGGGGGAGGAGCTCACCGGTCGGCCGCGTGTTGGGGAGAAAGCTCGCAAGGTGGCCGAGCGCTGTGGAGGGAGCTCGCCGGGGCGGCCAGCTGCTGTTGCTGCTTCCACACCGCCGCCACTACCGTCTCCACTCCATGACCACCGCAGGCGCCGTCTGCTGTTTCAGCTGTCCCCACCGCCACTGCCGTCCCAACCACCGCTCCCGACCACCGCCGCCTCCTCCTTCTCCGCTCCCGACCGTCGTCGCCACCGCCACTGCCACCGCTGCCGCCACCGCCGCCGCTTCCGACCGCCGTCCCCGCCGCCACCGCCACGGCTTCCGACCGCCTGCGCCGCTCCCCACCGCCGTTCCCACGCGCAAGAGATGAGGGAGAGAGAGAAAGGCCGGGGAGAGAGAGCTACACACTGACATGTGGGTCCCACCACGCTGAGTCAGCTTGTCAACCGGGTCAACACGCCACGTCGGACGAAACCGCCAGCAAAACCACCGAGGGAGGTGATTTGCTCTGGTTTTCAGAGAAGGAGGAGGCATTATACCCGGTTTTCCGGTTGAGGGATGTTATTCACGCAAGCGCAAGAGATGAGGGAGGCAAAATGGACTTATTCCGCACAAAATTAGAGTGGGATAGAAAACCTTTGGTCCTTCCGTATATCTACTTCCGGAAGTGCTAATCGGCGATCGATCGTCTAGGGACAGAGGTAGTGATCAAATATTTTCTATATATAATATTTCTATACATCTAAACTTTATACACCTAAAGTTTATAGACCCAAAGTTTATAAGTCAAAAGTTTACATACCTGATTCAAATTTGAATTTAAATTCAAATATTAGTTTATAGACCCAAAGTTTATAGGTCAAAAGTTTACATACCCGTTTCAAATTTGAATTTGAATTCAAATATTAGTTTATAGACCCAAAGTTTATAAGTAAAAAGTTTACATACCCATCTCAAATTTGAATTTTAATTCAAATTTGTATGGTGTAGTAGTAAGAGAAGAAGGGGAGGTAAAGTAGTAAGGGGGAGGGGCGGGTGATCGCTTGGGAGGGGAGGGAGCGATCACCCGCCCATTAGGATTACCCATCTACTTATGTCTATATTCTCTCTGTCCCAAAAAAAACAACCTAAAAAGTGATATGATCCATCCTAGTACAACGAATTTGGATAGCCCTTTGTACATATTCGTTATATTATGAGGGGTCACATCACATCTCATCTAAGTTGGTTTTTCTTTGGATGAAGGGAGTATATCATTCATCGGGACATTCTCGGTAAATTCCTCTGGATGAGATGGGGAAATTATTTGTTGCCCTACCTCTTCTATTCATTAAATCGATCCTCTCTCTATCTTTTTAATATTTTTTTAGAACTCTCCATGTCCTAATACGATCGAGATGACAAGCACAAGCGAGGAATCTTAGGTCCCGTTCATTTCTCTAGTAAGAGTTGGATGAAAATAAAGATTTCTGTGGCACGCTTTTCAAACCACTAAGCGGTGTGTTTCGTGCGAAAACTTTCTATATGAAAGTTGCTCTAAAATATCATATTAATCTATTTTTTCAATTTTGTAATAATTAAAACTCAATCAATCATACGTTAATATCACCTTATTTTGCGTGAAAAACTTAATCCTCATCTTCATCTTAATATGAGAAGCATGACAACTAAAATAGGATAAACTAAGCATGGGATCGTCAAAGATGAAAGAGGGTTGTCATGTTTCTATTTTGCTCTTCAATAATAGAGTAACGATTGTAGACACATGGGGTAACTGTTTTTCTTTTGTTTCCATGGCTATAAACTTATAATTTGTTTTCTACTATATCAATATACGATACTCGGCATGCAGGTTGTTTTTTCTTTAAAAAAATGATGAAAGAGCTGACATGTGCACCAACAAACGAGGGGTATTTCCTTCAAAATAAAAACAAACAAGGGGATTTTTGGTATTTTTCACAAGCAAGTACTTCATCTTTTTAAAAATATTTTTTAAAATATAGTAACCTAAAATCGGATGGAACATATCCTACTACAAATCTAGGCATATGCTTATCCAAATCCATAGTACTAAAATATATTATATCATTTGATACTATATTACTATATTTTTGAGATGGGTAGTACCTTCCTATAGCTGATGCAAATGGTATGCTAGAATGAACAATCTGCAGACTTGATAGCATAGAAAAAAGAAGTGAAATCGACGGCGTGCTATAAAATGCATGGGAACAAATTCAACGATATCGAACAGATTTCATCCATCCAAATTAATCATTAATCAACAAGAGATGAGGAACTGGTCCTAACGATGCTTAATTTTCACTGAGGAAGATCGACCAAGAATAATGGATAAGCTAGAGGAAATACGACAGCCTTGATTGTTTTCTCTCTCACTCACTCCGCTGTATATATATCTTCCTTTTCCTTTCTTTCTCTTTGTGTTTTCTTACGAGGGCTCTCCCCTACAACTCTATATAAATCAACGTGTAAAAGAAAAATCAGAATTTTTCGTGAGCACTGCGGATTAAAACCAGATCAATTAATAATTTGAGATCAGGATTCGTTCAAATAATTTAAGATCAGCTAGTAGTATGTACATTGTCGTACTGTTTATTGGAGTAGTATATACATATGTCGTACTGTTCTTAGATTTTTTTTTTTAGCAACTGGGATTACATACAAACTATAGAAGTGACATGATCCGATGACCGCGCCTATGATCACAAACACAAGCCACCGTTTGTCCTTAATTGCAATTAACAATGCGGGAGTACAAACACTGCAAGAAAACCAGCAGGTCAACAGCATCCAAATTCCTAGATAACAAGACGCATTACCAAGTAGCCAACACCACGCCTCGATCGATCGGAACACACACACCATGTCAACCACTGCGCCGAGGGCCGTCGCTGAGCGGTGGAGGGAGCTCCACGGCGAGGACCACTGGAAGGGCCTCCTCGACCCTCTCGACGCCGACCTCCGGCGCAGCGTCATCGGCTACGGCGAGCTGGCGCAGGCCACCAACGACGCGTTCATCCGCGAGGCGTGGTCGCCGCACGCCGGCGCGTGCCGGTACAGCCGCGACAGGTTCTTGGAGAAGGCGCAGGCGTCGACCCAGCTGGCGGGACTGTACGAGGTGACGGCCTTCTTCTACGCCACCGCGGGCGCCGGCGGCGTGCCGGCGCCGTTCATGGTGCGGAACCGGGAGTCGAACTGGATGGGGTACGTGGCCGTGGCGACGGACGCCGGGGTGGCCGCGCTGGGCAGGCGCGACGTGGTGGTCGCGTGGCGCGGCACCGTCCGGCCCATGGAGTGGCTCAACGACCTCGACTTCACGCTCGTGTCCGCCGCCGGAGTGCTCGGCGCCGGTGGCCGTTCGCCGGCGCCGAGGGTGCACAGGGGGTGGCTGTCCATCTACACGGCGAGCGACCCGGCGTCCAAGTACAGCAAGCTCAGCGCCAGGGAGCAGGTACGTACGTACGCAGCATAATGCACGTTACTGCATTCTACGATTAACCGTGCTGTTTGTTATACTCTACTCACGTCGTTGTTGTGCCCGCACATGCGTGATGACCGTACCGAGTTACGGAGTGTCGGAGTAGTTAAGGTTTTTTCTTTTCCTGTGGCTGGTAGGTTTCGGTCATTAAATTTGTTGTTTCTCCGGACCAAAGCTAGTCAGCTAGATCTTTCTGGCCTTGCATGGCTAGCTGCATGGTTGCGACAGCTTCCGCGATCCGCGCGACGCGATCGCCTCTGCTATGGTTAACGTTTCCAGCCACACGCGAGCGACAAGCCTACATCCGGTTTTCGGCGCTCGCGTGGTGACTGGTGTGTGCTTACTAGGCAAAGGATCAGACGGGTATGTGATCCGGTCATCCAGAGAAAGACCTGTTTTAGCCGTTTTCTGATTGGTTTTCTGGTATCCGTGCGCCAACGCGTACCACGCCTGTTGGTCGATACATCCACCGTTGATCACATCATGGCCGAGCTGTCGTCAAGAGTTTCGGCCGTGCACGTCTCGGGCATGGGTTCCGGACACGTTACTCGTAATGCCCGAAAGCGGACGTGCATGTTCATGTGAAACCGAGTGAAAAGCTGGGCCAACAAGATGGGCCAACAATATAATCCACATTCTAAATGGGCCTACGTTTAGTCAGTTGAAATAAGTTCACAGAGGTCGCTCAACTTAACAGCGATATTTTTTTTTAAGATCCTTTAACCACAAAACCAGAAATGTGTACACCAAAACTTATACAAATCGTGCATTCAAGGTCATATGGCAGTATATATATGTATATACATGTAGTTTCGCTGACGTGACATCCTAATTAAAAAAAAAGTCAACCTGCAAGTGAGATGAAAAAAAATATGGGGCACCGATATCTTATTTCTTCTCTTTTTTTTCTTTTCTCTCTTCTCTTCAATCTTCTTGGCGCAGCCACCACCCACTCCGCTCCGCCGGCCGCACGTTCGCCCGCCGCGCGCTCGCGGACGCTCACTCGCCACCGTCGACGCTCCGCTCGTCGCCGCTCCGTCGGCCGCGTGCTCGCCCTCCACCGCTCTGCTCCACTCTGCCGGCCGCCCGTGCGCTTGCCCGCTTGCTCCGGCTGCTCGCCGCCTCCATGCGCCCACCCCCCCCCCCCCCCCCCCCCCGCGACAGATGAGCTCCCCACCATGCTCGGCTGCCGTCAGGTCCCCTTGGACTCCACCACACCACTCAATCCGTCACGGCCCCGCTCCACGGCCTCCATGCCCGGTCGCCGCCTTTTTTGCCGACCTCCAGACTAGTAGGCGGCCACCCGACGCCCTGGTGCTCTCCACCAGAACCACCTCATCACCGCCGGGTCCCCTCATCCTCGGGCCGTCTTCATCGACCTCTTATGCCCCATCCCGAAGCAGGCGGAGGCGGCGCCGTCGCGGACGACGTTGACGTCGACCTCGGCATCCTCGTGCGAGACGAGCTCGCCCGCCGCCGCCCTCGCTCTACTCGGACGGCTCCGCTCTCCGCCGCTCTGCATGCCTGCTCCAGCCGCTCGCTCGCTCGCCGCCCCCGCTCCGGTCCACTCCTCGCGGAGGCCGCTGCTCCGCCTGCTTGCTCCAGCCGCTTGCCGCCGCCCGGATCCACACCATGCTCTGCGCCAACGAAAAGAGAAGAAAGAAAAGAGAAGAAAAAGGATGCATACCTACATTTTTATTCATCTCACATTCTCATTTACATGTAGTCTCATATTGTTGACTGGGATGCCACATCAACAAAACCATCTATATATACTATTATAGGACTTGATTACACGGTTTATGTAAGTTTAGAGGTATACATTAGCCTTGTGGTTAAGCGATCTTAAAAAATCTCGCTGTTAAGTTGAGGGACATCCGGTGTACTTATTCGTGGTCAGTTTGTATAGTTTTACATCTTGACGTTGCATTTGTGACCAGATTTCGGATGAGATCAAGAGGCTAATGGACAAGTACAAGGACGAGGAGACCAGCATCACCGTCGTCGGCCATAGCCTCGGAGCCGCCGTCGCGACCCTCAACGCCGCCGACATCGTCTCCAACGGCCTGAATCAGCACGGCGCCTGCCCCGTCACGGCGGTCGCCTTCGCCTGCCCGCGCGTCGGGGACTCCGGGTTCAGAAAGCTCTTCGACGAGCTCCCCGGCCTTCGCCTCCTCCGCGTCTGCAACTCGCCGGACGTCGTGCCCAAGTACCCGCCGATGGGGTACGCGGACGTCGGCGTCGAGCTCCCCGTCGACACGAGGAGGTCGCCGTACCTCAAGTCGCCGGGGAACCAGGCGGTGTGGCACAGCCTCGAGTGCTACATGCACGGCGTCGCCGGGGCGCAGGGCAAGCGCGGCGGGTTCAAGCTGGAGGTCGACCGGGACGTGGCGCTGGTGAACAAGAATGTGGACGCGCTCAAGGAGGAGTACCACGTCCCGCCGTCGTGGAGCGTGCAGAGGGACAAGGGCATGGTGAGGGGCGCCGATGGCCACTGGAAGTTGATGGATTACGAGGGAGAAGAAAGTAGCCAGGACAAATGACGCTGTGATCAATGTGAAATGTGAAGCTAACTAGCTTGTCCCTATGTTTCGTCATATGCTGTTTTTGCTTCCGATTGTGTGCAATCTGTGACATGCGCGTAAATTTTCTGTACCTGTAGCCTGTAGTGAAATAAATCAGTGAACCGTGGTAAGTTTGCATCTTTGTTTAGAAGATACTGGAAAAAATGAAAAAAAAATCTGGCTCATCCTGTTGTTGCACGCCAAAGAAAATTGGGCCATGTATTGGGCCGATTCTGAGGTAGACCCATCGCTATCTGGTTGTCCAGCTGTTCAACAAGATGATGGAAATGATTTGCCTGGCAAAGCGCAATACCAGTACAGAATGGAGCTGATGCGTGCTCCAGCTGGAAAAGAAAAACGGCTTTTGCTGATGGCGGGGAGAAACAGATATATATATGCAGATTTTTGGGTATGTGTAAATATGAGAGATTAATTATGCGCCTAACCCGGAGAAAGCAATGCGGTACGATGCTTTCAGTGATTTTCAAACTTACGTGTACACTTCTTAATTGTCGAAGCACAAGTGAGTCGTGCGCCCCTATCTGTTTGTTTTAAGTTTCCGAGTGTAGTGAATGCGACTAAACTATATATCGCCTCTACACCAACAGCTGGTGACAAATTCAGGATTAACACTGTAACAACTTATGGAGCGAATTTCAGGATTAACACTGTAAAACAAAAGGGCATGTAGCTTAGTGGTTACAGTGACCTGAGTAGCGGGGTCTTGAGTTCAAATCTTCTATGGAGCGAATTTTAGATTGGGTTGTTTACGGGGCTAAGTTCCATATTTCAATGGCCGTATATATCCGATTGGATGTAGAGGCCGGGTAAAAAATACCCTTCTCTAATAAAAAAGACAAAAAAAAACACTGTAACAACTTATTTGTCCAAGCTGCCAGGTAGTTTTTAACACTCTACTTTATTGTCGGCTTAGAGCAAGTTTAATAGTATAGCCCACTACTAGCTTCAAATTATCTATAGCCAATGTAATAGACAATTTATACAATAGTTGCTTATTATATTATTAATATATGATTCCACCTGTCATACACACATTATGTCTTGAAATCCGTACTACAGCTGGCTACAGATCTGTAGCCCGCTGCTCTTATCTCTTTTTCTTTTTCTCTTTAAAATATGTTTATAGCTGGTTTATAGCATGCTATTGTACCTGCTCTTAGTGTAGTTGTAGCGCCCGTTCCGTCGTGGCGCCTAGCGGGAAAATTATCTCTTAAAAACCCTAATTGCGAAATTTGTTTCTTCGCTTGTCGTCTAATGTCCGTGCCATCTCAAGATCTCAAATCCCCGATCTATCGTCGAGTTCAATTCCGAATCCAAATCCTTCCAAATCAATTTCCTCCGCAAAAGTCTATTTTGCCTCCCCCGGGGTCGATGGGCCGAATTTCTCTCGGCCCATCTCCCCCTCTTCCCCGGCCCCCTCCCCTCTCTCCCGGCGCTCGCTCTCTCTCTCCCTTTCTCTCTCGCCCTCTCTCCCTTCGCTCCGCTCCGCCCGCGCGCCGCGCGCGCGTGCGCGTGAGCCGCCCGCGCCGAGTCGAGCCCTCGCTGCTGCTCCCCGCGCGTCGCTCGCGCGCGCGCCCGCGTGGTCCTCGCCCGCGTCGCGTCTGCGCCGCCCGGCCCCGCTGCCCTGCCGCGCCTGTAGCCGCGCAGCCGCTCGGCCCCGCAGCCAGCGCGCGTGCCCGAGCCGCGCCCCTCCATCCGCCGCGCCTCCCGTTGCGACCCGCGCGCGCGTGCCGTGGTGGCCGACCGCCCGGTCGCCGCCGCCGTCAGCTTCTGCACGCGCCTGTCGCCCGTGTCGTCCCGCCGCTCCAAACCGCCCCGCCGTCATCGCCGTCGTCATCGTCTCGGCCCCGCCACTCCGCGCGCAAGCCGCCAAGGAACGGAGGCCGAGCCCTCCTCCCTCTGCCGCGACGCCCCCGCTCCCCTCCCCCTTTTTCCCAAATCGGCAAGGGGGCAAGCCCCTTTCTCCCCCTCCTTTTTCTCCTTTTCCTCCCGCCGGCGTCATCCTCCCTCCCCCCTGTCGCCGTTTTGGCCGCTAGCCGGAGCGCCAGCTCGCGCCTTGACCGCCAAAGTCGGTTTCCAAACCGACATTGCCGCCCCCTATAAACCCAGGGGCCCTCACTTCCCCTTTTCCCCTCCCAATCTTCTCTGTTTCTCGCCCGCGCCATTGCCGTCCCTCTCGCCGACCGCAGCCGTCGCGTGTGTGCCGGAGGAGCCGGTGCGCACTAGGACGCGGAAGGGGACTTCGGCCGCGCCCTCTCCTTCCTCTTCCCCGGCCCGAGGACGGAGAGATTACTCCCGCGCCGTCGGCTCTCGTCACAGCGCCCCGACCCGCACGGTAGTGCCTCTCTCCGTTCTTCCTCCTCGCTCCATCCCCCCCTTAGTTTTCGGTGGTAGCACGAGTAGCCTCCCCGTAGCTAGCCGGCGCCGCCCCGACCGTTGCCGTCGCTCGCCGTGTGCTCGCCGCTGTCGCCGCTCGAGCTCCGTAGCACCCGCTCGTCGCCAGCCTCGCTCGGCGTAGCTCCGCCCAATCCGACGCTAGCATCGGATTCCCGTGGCCGCGTAGATGCTCTCACCGCCGGGAATCGGCCCCTCGTGACCTCGTCGCCGTTTCCCCCTTCCCCCGCCGCCGGTTGCCGCCGCCGCAATCCGCCGCCGTCGAGCAACCCCCGGCAAATCCGAGCCGTTGGTTCGTCTCCCCTCGTCACGTGCAACCGCCCGGTGTGCTCGCTTTTGCCCGTATCGCCGTGGTTCGCTCCGTCGCTCGCCGCTGTCGACCGCCGTCCGTTCCGGCCGGCGTCGTCGTCTACCTCCCGCCGGCCCGCGTGGCAGCCACGTAGGCGCCACGTCGGCGCCAGCTCAGCCTAGACCGGGTCGAGCCGACCCCGGTCAGTCCCTCCCCGTGCGCGCGTTCCACCGCGAGCCGTGAGGCTGCGCGTGGGCCCGCCGCACCCGCGTCCACCGCGAACCGCGCGCGTGCACCGCGTCCCTCCCCCGCCCGAGCGCGTGCGCCGCGTGCTCCCTCCGCACGGTGAGCCGAGCCGCTGACAAGCGGGTCCCACCCGGGACCACGCACGGTGAGCCCGGTCCACCGGCCCTCTCTCTCCTCCCTCCCGCGCGCGCGCACTTGGGCCGCCTTGGGCCGGCCGGCCCATTTAGCTCGGCCGGTCCGCTCCTTTTCCCTTGGGCCGCGCCCTAGCCGCCCGAGGAAAAGTCTAGAATCCCTCCCTCTTTCCTTTTCCATTCCTTTTTCTTTTCCAAAAAGGATTTAATTAAATCCTTTTTCCTTTAGACCAAAAATCCAATAATCTTAGAAATTCAATATCTTCCCAACCGTAAATCCGTTTGACTCCGTTCAACTTCCAAAATTCCTCAAATCTCGAGATCTATCTAATGGCACGCTTAGAGGTCATTAATAGGGCTTTATTTTCGCCGTTTGTTGAGTTGTCCCGTTTCGCGTGTAGTTTCGGAGCCCGAAGACCCGCAGTGCGAGGATTTCGAGGATCAAGCTCCAGACCTCGAGCAAGGCAAGCCACCCTTGAACATCTTGAGCCTATATTTGAAATTTAATTATGTTGCTTGAAAAATATTATGCATTGATAGGATCGCACTTAATCTGTCGTCCCGTCTGCAAGGCAGATTGGCGGACCTACCTAATTTGTCGCATTTGATCCTTCCTTGTTAATTGTTATATCATGTCCCCTTGTAACCATCTAGTTGTGTCTCGATATTCGCGCACCCTGTGCGAGTATCGACGGACGCCTTCAAACTTAAAATCTGAATAACAACTTAGGTAAAACTTGGGTTTTACAAAAGACTTGGAAAACCCGACACTTGGGTCGGTGCTTGCGAACTAAATGAATTTCCAAAACCGCGGACCGGGGAACGTACCGGGTGTACGGTTTCCCGCTCTTGCACTTAAGGACCGTTTCCTTGGAATTTCATCCAAACATAAGACAAGTACGACCACATGGGTGGAATGGGACACCCCTGGCTGAGTAACTAGCTTATCAGGGGAGCCTTGATGCCGAGAGACATGTGGATTCGCCGGGGTGGTGTCGGGGAGGACCCCTGGGCTTCCTGGCACAGTATGGTCTGGGACCTAACCTGTTGTTGGTCTAGGACCCCTCTCGTCGGCATATGGTAAACCTATGTCGGCTTTCGAAATGCCTTGTCATGAAAGCTTGGAGGTCTCCCGACGTGGCTGATCCCCACGGGCTGGGTGATCCGGGTTAGTAATATCGTGTGGGTAAAGTGTACCCCCTCTGCAGAGGTTAACAAACTGTTCGAACAGCCGTGCCCACGGTCATGGGCGGATGTGAGGTGATTCCTAGCGTAGTTTTGTTTGACTACTGCTTGTGAAATTGCTGTTGTGGAAAGGGGTTTGATGTTTGAAAAATCTGTAGCTGATGGGATCAGCTAGCCCCGGGTGGCCGTTTGAAAAGTTGTTGGCCCGGGTGGCCGTTTGAAAAGTTGTTGGCCCGGGTGGCCGTTGAAAAGCTGTTGGCCGGGTGCCAACCTTGTTTCAATTCTAAAGACTGATACATTGCACAAACTCCGACCGTACGAGACGCACTGTCTCATCCGTGTCGTTTGAGAAGCACTCACTTAGTTGTTTTTAAAAAAGAGTTCAAATAAAATCAATTGCAAAAACAACAGCCTTTCCTTGAAGCCTGCATTAAACACTTAATTCCCATGGCTTGCTGAGTACTCTCGTACTCACCTTTGCTCTATATAAATAACCCCCCAGTTGCTGAAGAAGATGAAGCGGACCCTGTTGATGAGGAGTTCTTCCAGGAGCAAGCCGGCTACGATGAGTTTTAGGGTTTCGGCCTAGTTCCCAAGTCGCGCCTGTGTTGTTGGTCCAAGTCCTGGCTTCCGTTTCCCTTATGTAATGCAGTTGTGAGCTCGGAATCTGTCCGCAGCCCAACATGACTGTACCTCTACTCTATAATAAAGAGACCTCTGTTGCTGTGGTATTCTGTCTCCCTGTGGTACCAGCACTGTTTTCTGGGACTGGTATCGATTAACAGGTTAATTTGGAGCGTCACGGGCTAGTTCCGGTCGGGGCTGGTTCGGGGCGTGACAGTAGTTAGCCTACTCTAGAAGACCACAAATATGCCAAGACGGTGCTAATTAACTTGTCATGATAGAGCCACCGAGGACAGAATGTAATGCATTAATCTGGTGTTGGCGTTAGTTAGTCTCTCTGTTTCAACGACT